TCGACGCAATGCATCGGGGGAGCAAAGTTCTGATTACTCGGCCGTTCTTCGACCCTGAGTAGCGTTTACGTTACGCCGACATTACCTGCAAGGTTAAAGGATTTCGCGCGACACTTGGTTAAGAAAGTTTCATATACTTAGAAAAGTCGAGCATTATCCGAATCCACACTTTCCTCGGAAAGTTTTATCTAATCCAATTAGGGCATTCTTTTAGGAATTTCGAGAACCTGCAACATTGTGAATTAAGCGCGGAAATGTTGCAAGAGAGAGGAGAGAGTTACGGTTTGGTTGCAATAGGTCTGAGTAGAATGTATCGTTCGCATGTTACGAGTTGTAACGACGAAATTAATTTCTTCCAAACATGATATTTGGCGACTCCAATATTTTGGAAAATTTGTATTTCGAGAGATTGTTTCGATATTTAGATTTCGATAACTTTTCGGAACAATTACGTGCTTTCAATATTTCGGGCAAATTGTATTTCAGGAAATTGTCCCGGTTTTCATTGTGATTTTTCGAAACATTATCTCAATTTTCGAACTTCGATAACTTTCTTTTTAAATAACGCGTGTACATTCGATACTTTTCCGAGAACGTCGAGTGTATGAAATTCTCAAATCCTGAACTTTGCGTGACATGTGTAACGGGGATAGTACCTGTCTAGTGCGCGAGTCGCGAGAAATGAAGGCGCCGTGCTGGCGCCTTCCAGGATTTTGTCTGAAGAAATCCAATTGCAGTAACGAGGAGGAGGACAAGGGTGTAAGTATCAGCTCGATAAATCGACAAAAGAAAAGAAAAAAAAATACACGTTCGTGTCACGCTATGTATATTACCGTTGTGGGGCTGGCTGGTTGGTACATGTGCAAATATGTGTGACTCGAGGTTGCGTAGAGAGTCTCGAAGGTTTTCGGGATGGGTAACGTCTCGAGGGGAACACGAGGACTCGACGACGACGACGACGACGACGACGACGACGACGACGACGACGACGACGACGACGACGGGTACCCCTGAGGGTGGGGTCGGGGTGCAGGGGCGCGGTAGGGTACGAGGTGGGGCGAGGAGTGCGAAGAGGTGGAGGAACGAAGAGGGAAGGAAAGGGGAGATGGCCGACCACGCGCGATCAATATACCAAAATACGCCGGCACCCGCGCGCACATAAATACGTATACGCGTGCGCGCGCGCGCACACCCGTCCGTGTTCCACGTACATCCTCGTGAACTCTGTCAATATATGCCTTCACGTATGCAAATTGTAAATATAATCTGAACGGCTTGTGTACTAGCGACTGCGTGCATGTGCGTGGGGAGAGCGAATTGTAAATGTAACGTTCTCGCACACGTATGTTGCGTGAAACGTCTCTGAATACGTTCTTCGAACTCTATGGTATCGCTGGGTTTGACTTCCGGGTTGAAAACGCGTTGTTTTTTAATTTCTTCTCGACGTTTCACGGACATTTCAACTGACTTCATCAGGCAGAAGAGCAATGTAATGTTGTAGTATTTCTTCAAAGAAATATGAGGGACAGACTAATGACACATATGTACAAACCGAGTATTCGTACATATTTACCATGATAGTGATTGAAGCTTGAGTGAGAAAGAAGTGCAATTTCTTTCGATCATAAACCATCAATTTTCATCTCCAATTCACCGGTAGAACGTCTATATATCGTGTACGTCGCTGGATGGAGCCTTGTTAGATCTAAGTAACGCAATACGGATTGTCACGCAAGTCTACATGATAATCACCTGCATGCAAAAAAAGACTAGAAGAAGAAACTAAGTGTAGCCAGATATAGGCAGGGGTAAACTGTTTCTTTGAAATAAGAATAGCTAATATGGTTGCTATTGAAATATAATTTAACCGCTTGAAGTTTTGTGCTACGGCAAAAAATATATTCGTTGCCAGAAACACATTATATCATTTTACCTTTCGCAATGGAACCTGATAATATTTGCAGGATAAGATTATATTAACCAAAATTATATATAACACTTTAGAAATATATAATTTAAAGAAAACCAGACAAGTAGGAACCAATGTGCCTGCATCGTTTTCTCTATTGCTCATATATGTTTCATGTTCTCGCACCAAAAATGTACAAATTGCTTTCGCAAATTCAAAAGAGAAAAAATAGTAAGAAAACACAGAAAATGTTATTAAAAGACGAAAAGAACGCAGCGGATCTCGGGATACGCGAAGAAGATATCGGAACGATACGAGCGCAGAGCGGAGCCGCATGTTGAGTGTCACTATCGAACAATAACTTCGTGCTGCTGCGAGCTCTCAAAATGGCTGTCCTCAGCTATTATTACTTCGGGGAAAAAACAAATGACGGCGCGCGCTTACGCTACGTGAAGAGGAGAGGAGAGACAGAGAGCCAAGGCCCTCGGTATAACGTATCATGGTATGCATGAGATCGTGTGGGTGCGCGTATATATACGCGCGACACTTCAAGCTGTCCGTCTCTCTCTTTCTTTCCTTCCCCTTCTTTTTCTCTCTCTCTCTTTCTCTTTCTCATCTTCGGCGTATCCTTGCGGACTACGGACCGTGCCGAAAACATTGGGACACCTTACGTGTTTCCTGAAACTCGAGGGTTTATCGAAGCGATAATGCCGGCGATTCGTGCGAAAACAAAAACAAGTCTGTAAATAACGTGATACCCATGCGAATTTCGACTTTCCTCTTTCTTCCCGTGTTTGTATATCTATATGTAATATGTTATGAAGATGTGTGGGCGTGCAAGTCTGTGTACAATATGTACGAGAGTGGAGGAGGTTGCAAAGAAAGGCAGCTGGAATACAAAATGTTGAGTGAAAATATAGAAAATTCTTGGTGAAAGTTGACCATGTCGGAGAACACTAAACAGAAATATGTTTACCATAACTGGCTAAATGTAATCTTGAACTTATCTATCTCTTCTTTTTTTCTACCCAAATTGTTTAGAACAAATATATTACGAGTCTTGTTTGTTATATTTTATAGTTATTCTAAACATGCAAATTATGATAAAGTGAACACAGAATTATAGTTATTATAATATGACATGCATTTATGAGCTTTTCGTATTGTGAAATGTTCTATAAAATATAGTTACAAGAAATAACTATATATAATAAAAATGTAATCATATTTCATATATGGCTAACAATTGATTGCCCCTTCTTTTTATTAAAGTTGTTCTTAAGGTATTAAGTGATGATTTTGTGCTTTAAATTAACTATATTATTACATCTGAAAACGCGCTTATATCATGGTAGAATTCAAACCTGAAACTTTCCAGGTTTTTTGCTTAACTTTACTATACTTAAAATCATTATAATTTACAATGAAAGATTTATATGAGTTGGTTACGTTACGTTTATATCGTAACTATTACAAAAATTCTTGTTTTTTATATGACTTTAGATCGGTTTTGCGTGTTAGTGTCCAGCAGTAGTCGCCTATTTATCTTGGCCATGTATTCATTATCATTATTTCCAGTTGTTTCGTTACAGGATAGCTCCGCGCGCGGAATTCAGTACTACTCACATCATCAGAACAAATTGCCATTGGTTAATCGTTTTAATGAATGACTGACTTCGTTGCTGATAAAACATCAGCATGTCGCACGGAATGTTTGTTTTTTGTATTAATTCCAATGACTTTTGTTAAACAAAAATAACAATTATCAGACTCTCTCTAAAACATTATCATTGGTATACTATAAGACAAATAAACTTTCTCTCCACTTGTTCACTGTTTATCTCGATTACTGACAAATCAAAGTAATGTGAGTAGGCGAATTTCAGCGATTTTGTGATTGTGTGGGCAGATTTTTTTTCTAGCAATTATAGCAATATATTACCTACAAACACAACAAAAATACTTTAGATCAATCTTATGCACTCTTTCTATTTTCATGCACTCTTCATATCAATCCGTACAATATTTTTGAACAAATATTGATGAACAAATAGTGATACAATATTAATATTATAATTGTAAGGAAAAAGTCAGTGTAATAAACTTGTTATTTCTAAAACATTCGATCTGATGGAATTTTCCTGACGGTAAATTCAAATTCAGCATTCCAAAATACGTTAAAAAATGATTTCCTGCACTAAAAAAATTTATAAAATTTTTAAACTAATATAATCCTTATTAACGGGAAAAACTCTTTAGTGCACTAGAAAATAAAAATAAGGCGAAAAATATATCGAAAATATTTACAACAGGAGTATATAAATACAAAATATAAAATAAATAAAAAAAATAAAAAATTTAGAATATTTAGAGAAAGAAAGGAAAAGAAGGAAAGATTAGGTAGGAAAAGAAGGAAACAAATAGGTCGAATCGTTCGTATCGCTTTTAATCTACCTACTATTTCTTTGGCCTCTAAATATTTCAGTGAGAAAAAAGATAAAGTTTTAGATAGTAAATTAGGAACGGTTAGCAAGATATATAGGAATTTTTTATTTTAGAAAGTATACCGGAAAATTTCCGGTCGGAATTATTTCGTTGTTTATATTATTCTTTAATGGATACCCGAAATGTGATTGGAGAGTTTGATATTTGAAGCTTTCGCGGGAAAATGCTGAATTTGTATTCCGAATTAGAAATCAAGTTTTTGGTGCATTTGTCTTTAGCATTTCACGAATATTTCTCAGTGCACTTGCAAAATTTTCGGATCGTAAGGTTCTTTTGTCGAAGCAATTTGTAAAAAAGAAAAAGAGAACAATGATGACTTATTTCCAGGAAAAATAATTTCGTTTCTGTAAAGAATGCACAATAGCTTCTCTCTCATGAGGATGCACATTAGATGCATTTTGCGTGAGATGCTATCGTGTCTCTTGATCGTGATGGACCGGCTTCGTTTATCTGTGTGCGATCTATATAACGCGGAACACGATTTACGAGCGATAGACTTAAAGCTGGAACATACACGTCCGTCATTGATCGCGAAAGGTTTAAGCGACGTCGGGGCTGCGTGTTATCGCGGTGGTTCTCAACTTACCGCTTGAAATGCTCCCTGATGCGATCCTCACGGATGTTTTCCGGCAGATTTCCAACCCACAGGTGACGTGTCTCTCTAACCATTTTGCTCCGAACTCTTCATTTGGAACCGGATGTTGTGGTATCGTTTGGAGGCACTGTACAACGACACACAACCTCGACCGGCGATAGTAATCACCGCACACTACACCAAACACACGCGACGCGAATTACTTTTCGGACAACTCGACGAACAAGCTGTTGGTTCGCACGCTTTTTTTTCTCTTCTCCTTTCTCTCCTTAGGAACTCGGCCTCCAATCTCCTTCGCCTCTGTTTTCGCTTTATCTCCGTCCAGGTAGAGATGAATTGTACACAGCACAAAGATAGTAACTTCTGCCTTCGCTTTCTTTCTTTTATTTCCTTTACCGAGGAATTAACGCACGAAACGTACACGGGTCGGACCAGCACGATTGTTACACGTTACATCCACCGTAACGAAATGGAACGCAGTAACGGTTGAAACTCTCCCACGGTGGAGTAAAAAAAAAACTCGCTCCCGAAAACTATGTATGCATATGTATGTGTATATATACATATATGTATATATATATATATATATATATATACCGCCCTCTTTTGCACTTGTCACTCGCCGCTCTGTTTACTTTAACTCGCACGGTATCCGCACATTCCTCCGTCTTCCTGCTGCAACAGACAGGCAAACGATTAATCACTAGTCAGTAGCCAGGAAAAGGCGAGCCGTGCAGATGGGGTGATCGCTGTCGTCGAGGATGCGGCACGTTGGAAGAACGACCGCTCGTGCATGCGTTCTGGTAGCAACGTTAACGATAACGGCAGCGATGGCTGCGACGTTCGCCACTATAAAATCGACAATGACGACGACGAGGGGATCCTCGTGATCAAACTTTCGCTGTGCGACGTACAGCGGACACGTCGACGCGGAGGAGGTGAAAGAGGAGCAGGAGTAACTGATGGCGGCAGAGGACGGAAAACGGGAGCCTAGATAGCGGGCACCGCTGATTGTAATGATGATTGCGAGGATCAAGATCGCTGAAGCCCACCACATGGTACATCACTGAATCGCGATATGGGGAATATTGCTTCTTCTCGTAATCACCACGTCACGTCACACGAGCACTTCCACCCGGCGCGATACAGCACGGGTGATCCATCTCGCGGCAGTAGCCTCGCAATTTCTTTCTCTCTCTCTCTCTCTCTCTCTCTCTGTCTCTCTCTCTTTCTCTCTCTCGACTCTCACGTTCACTCGCGTTCGTATTGCCGATGCTGCGATCTTTTAACACGCACGGTTCGCTTTGCTCCGGAGCCGGGGTGACACAGCCCACGTCACGTCGCGTCGCGTCACGTCACGTCACGGCACAGCACGGCACAGCACGTGGCACGGACCCGACACGACGACACACGGCACGACGACGACACGGCGCATCAAGGCTGGCCTGCTGCACGCGAAAAGAAGAGAACTCTTTCTCGTTCTTTCTTTCCGAGTGTCGGGGCGCGCGCGCGCGCGCGTCGCGAATGTGTGACCCACTGTTGATAACGCGAATCAATTCGAACGCGGCGAAACGGCACAGTCGTTTCCTCTTCCTCTCGCCGACTGCTTTGTACCTCGCGCAGCAAATCCTATCCGAGAAGCGAAACGACCACGGCACTGTGTACCGTGCACATCTATACGCCCGTCTTACACACGCATGCATTCGGGATACATGTACATACGCACGTATTGCAACGCATATACATATACACCCTGTATTCCGAGTATATATTCACTCCAGGGTAATTTTACTTCTCTTTTTTTTCACACCACTGCCTCTATATTTGTCGCGGCCCGAAGCATCACGTACCACGCACGTATTATACTTGAAGATCTACCGATACATCTACACCGTGGATACTCCCGCGCTTTGCCTCCTCTGAGCGGGAACGTCGAGGGGGCTCTTACGTGAGGATTAAACCGGCGATGACGCGATAAAAGAATTTCGGCGCGCGGCTTCCAACGAACGTGTATGTATACCATACAATACCCGAATGCCACGCACGTTCGTACACGCGTGTATATGTGGGCTGATTACGCACGTAATGAGCTTACTCGCACTGAAGGTGTCGTCGTTGAAAGAGATCGTAACAGTACATACGCTTGAAAATTCACTCGTTTTGCACACTCGGACATATAATACGAACGGAGCTTACTTGGCTCCTCCTCACTGCACTACACTACTCAGAGTGACGTCACCGTGGCGGGAGCGTATCGAGGCTCGCTGGCTAGCAGCGCTGTCCGGTTGCGTGGTGGGGCGGCGAAATAGGGGAACGGAACGAGTCTACTTCAGAGAGAGGCCGGCTCATCGCGATCGTCGCCCGCCAGGCGTGGTGGAGGCGAAGTAGAGAACAGGGGGAAAACGGGGAGAGAAAACGTTGCGCGCGCGCTCGTGTGCCTCAGGCCGCAGGGTGGGAGGAACTCGTTCGAATCGAAGCAAGGACAGGTAGGGGGACTCGCGGGACTCGGGAGAGTAGGGATAACGGGTCGAACGAGCTAACCCGCGAACCCCTGAGCCGCTCTCGTCCCTTTTCGTCCTGCTCCTCTTTCCTCCCTTCGCCTGATCCTCGTGTTCTCTCTTTCTCTCCTTGCTCCGTTCTTTTCCCCACCGTTCGTCCCACCCTCCGTACTGCCGTCTCCTACTCCGCGTAAGTCATCTGTCCTCTTCCTCTTGGTGCCACCACCACTACCGTCTCCATCGAGTCGAATCTATCCGCCATCTTTGTTACGCGTTGTCTGCTCCTCTTTCTCTCTTTCCGTCTCTCTCGCGCTTTTCCCCGCTTATACGCGCGCTCTCTTTCTCTTTCTGTCTTTCTCTCTCTTCCTCCAGGGCCGGTTTAGGGGCAGCCAATTACCCGGGGCATCGGTACTTTCTACCGAGAATAAAGACGGACAATCGGATTATTACGAAAATAAAAGTACTTAACTTCGTGACGTTCTCTCTAATCAAGGAAGTAACGATCAAACAAACGTGCCAGCTCGATAGCCCGCGTACGGGTTAATGAGGCGTGCGCGTGGATAAGCGTTTTCCGCATAAACGGCATAGATTCGGTGCGCCGCCCGGGATAAGGGTTCAGAGTCTTTATAACAAGAGTCTTGTTGCTGGAAATCAAGTTGTTGACTCGCGTGAAAAACACAAGCGACATGACGAGTAACGCGCTAAATCTGGCAATATTCATCTGAGCTCACATATTTTTGTATTTGGTTAATTGAATATTCTTACTCAATAATGTAAAAAAGGAGCAATCCAAAATGTATATTCAGAAACACGTTTACACGTACCAAATAACTTTCTTGATAATTATAAAATAACCATCGGAATAATTGACAATGATATCTGATTAATTATCGATAAACCTCGATTGCTCACATAGTTTCAAATTAATCTCAAAGATTAATCTCAAAGCGCATATTTCTTGTCTCGAAGATAATGCTTATATTTTAACATATTTACTGAAGGAAGATACGTGCATTATCGAGTACAAATACTTGAGTGTAACGTATGACACAATGGAGAAATAAATACGTAGAAATACAAATATAATAGATGACTACCGAATTATTACTGCGTATCGTATCTAATCATTTTGATAACAGCTAAAAACGTAAGACAATGAAATACACACGATGTCTTTTGCCAAAGTTTTAAGTCTAAATTCTAGTTTTAAATTCTAAGCAATCTATACAATGTATAACACAAATAAAACAAGATTCTGTTTACAAGGGAACACTCGTGAAGAGTCTGACTTGTAGTAAATATATCTAAATAAATTCATAGCTTATGCACATATCCACACGCATGTACATCTATATGAGCCTTCGAGTGTTTTCACATTTACATGATGTGTAAAATTTCACGTAGAATTCCACTCCGAATTCCGTTAGTTGTCTAAAGTGGACATTACATTAAGCAGCTCGTAGATGGACGGTGGGTAAATTGTTCAGGGCGAACAATGCGCTAGCTGCATGCCTGCATCGTCGTCGCCATTTTGATCTCCTCACCGTGGAATCGTGTCCGGAGCGTCTTTATGCTGTGCTTCGTGCGATCGTTGGTTGGTCGCGAGAGAAGCGAGCGATCGTCGTCCACGTTCGCATGTCGTACGTTACGCGACGTCGAGCCCGCAACGGCAGTAACGTCCGTTCGTGTGACCGCAGGACGTTGTTCAGCTAGAGAGAAAGCGATTTCCGTTGCGAGTCCAAGTCGTCGCCTCGTCCGAAAACGGCAACCGCCGTCGAATTCGGAGCGTAACGCGTCGCGTTACGGTTTCGTGGACGATTTGCGTTCGTGTGCCTTGTGCGTGTGAGCCTCGCATGTTCCGACATATTTGCCAATACTTTATGCAAACCGACATAATTTTGAGATTTCTTTTCATACCGTCGACAATGACGCAAAGATACGTTCCTATATTAATTCGCGATAACGCGTTAACCTATCAATATTGACAATAACATGTATTACAGCACATTACATTCTAAACAAACTATAATACACAACAGAATTCTATCCGTAGGAAAACATTTGAAGGCGAAATATTCTAATATGATCTATATAAGCGCGTACTTTTCCATAGTTTTAATTCAACGCTTATGCTCAATATCATAAATAAGAAACATTATTTTAACGCACACATTTAAGAATACATCGAATTGTTGACAAAGGTACATCGAGTCGCGAGTGACTCTCTCGGCAATCGTAAAATATTCACTGAAACGGACGATGATTGTGTTCATATCAGTTTAATCAACTATTGATAAGCGTTAATGCTTCATAATAAACACATTTATAAATCTTCAAATGTCGTCTATATTGCACGATGTATAAATTTGTAAACAGAATTCTGTCGAATTATATCGTGTAAAATAGACTCTGGATATAAAGTATCAAAGCATGTATCAACGCATTAAAAATAATGTTCTTGTGCGATAGATTTTACTTTTTTACATTTAGCGTTCCATTTTCAAGATCTTCGAACAAAATAACGTCGAAAATAACAAGATTTATAGTTGATTTATATTATACATCGGTCGTCTAACGTAGTATTCACTCGGTGCAGTGAAATCTACGTTCAACATGGAATATTGCTCAAGTGTTACATTCTTTGTCGCGTATTTCTCCTACAGAAAAATCGTAAAATCTCTAAGAAACCCTATAAAAACACAAGTAGAAATTTTCACCCTTTCCATTTTCTCTTCGTTCTTTACCTCTTTGTTTTTATTAACATATTCTTCTACCACTCGGTTATTATTTACGCAATATATAGAATGTAAGACGCGCGTCGGCATTGTTATTTTGTCATTGTTTAACGCCAATATCGGAGTGTCGCTGTTCCGTTACAATTTAACTTCGTCGCAACAATATGGTATCGTCGCGATAATCTACTCGTCACACTCGACGTGATGGAAGTCAATAAAATCGGCGACGTAGGCCATTAGTGACCGAACGAAGTCGAATCGAAAGCAAGAAATGAGGACATCCGGAACATCCCGCGCGACATTAACAATCTAAATGAGCGTCGTGATTTTCGCGACGCTCGTACGCTTTCGTGAATCGCCGTGAGGTTTCTAAGACTCCTAGACCGGTATTCATAGTCCGATCTTATATTTAAGATCATCTTAAGTACTGTTTTAAGATATTATGAACCAATAATGTTGATAATGAATAATAATAAATAATAATAATTCGCATCTTAAAACATTACTTAAGACGGTCTTGAAATAAGATTCGACTATGAATATCGGCCCTAGAGTCATATTCTTGACGTATATTCGAAGATTAATTACGTCTTTTTGACTCCCAAGTTAAACAACCGTATATAGGACGCTCGTATACGAAACTCGGAATAAGAAGAGTGTACTCAGCGTTCGAATACGTGTCAAGATTATGATCTCTTACCGCAGCCATCTTGATTTATGATGTCAGAAGCGAGGCAATGCATGCCCAAGATTCCTATAAAGTACATCGAAATAAAAAGATATATAAAAAAAATACCATTTGCGTTTGATTAAGCACACTTTCAAAAGACCCCGAACGCTTTTCTTCCGCTTCTAAAAATCAATAAATTACTGTAAAATTAACGTGACAAGATAATGAGGAAATATAGGTTAAAAATGAAGGTTGCCACGTTAATTTCACGGTTATTTTACGGTTAGAACAGAAGGAAAGTATTCGAAGTATTTCAGAGATGTATGCCTAATCGATTGCAAGTTTCATTTTTTAGGTATACCTTTTCACCTTGAGGGACTAGGAAGCCTTAATCATGCATGCACGTAGGTGCACATGCATACGCCTTAATTCATAGAACAGAAGGAAGGTGTTCGAAGTATTTCAGAGATGTGTGCCTAATCGATTGCAAGTTTCATTTTTTAGGTATACCTTTTCACCTCGAGGGACTAGGAAGGCTTAATCCATCATGCACGTAGGTGCACATGCATACGCCTTAATTCATAGTGCGTATGAATTAAGACGTGTACGCGTCCGTTGTGCCGTTATCGAGTCATGAAGGCAGTGCATGATTGGCCAAGCCGAGCGGCAGTTTCGCTACAATTATCCTGGGTTTTCTATCGCGACGATTGATGATAGCACTCATAACTGCATTGAATAAAGCTATTTCTTCGTTCATCATTAAGCCGCTTGTACCCCGCGCTTCGAAGGTTACGTGAACGCGACGTACAAGAGAGACAGAGAGAAACAGAAAGAGAGAGAGAGAGAGAGAGAGAGACAGGGGGGGGGAGAGAAATAGAGAGAGAGAGACGAGAGTGCTCGTCTCTATGAGGTTGAGCAGTTCATTCTTTCTTTCTTCCACGCCAAAAACGATAAAATGAAATAAATGCAGTGCGTCTTAATTGTTCGACATGATTCGCCCCGCTCCAGATAGATAAATATAAATCTGATACGTCCACTCAGCTCGCTGACAAACCAAACTAATGGCCATACTTACATTACATAAGTCCGGCACGGAAATAACGCGCGATGACGAAGCGCGTGTGTCCGTCCACGCGCTCATTTATCATACTTGTCTCTGAAAGGACCCTTTTTGGCTTTGTTCGATTTTCCCGATGACTCCCGTTCCTTACATCCTCTCTGCTACCTACGGTGTAAGATAATGGCGGCGACGGCGGTTCTCGGCTCGCGATTGCACGGCGCGCGTAAAGTACCGCGTGGCGACATCTCTTGGAATATGGTACTCATCAAGTATGATGAATTATGCGATATTACCAATTCTACCGATTACCGACAGCGTAACTGGTTACCGACAACGTACAGTTGTGTTGACTTCAAATCGATTGTTATTAATATGTTTAAATAAAGAGATTGTAAATTGCGTCAGATATCGCGTGGATATTATTATTGTAGTTGTAGGATTTATTGCTAATATACAGTTTGAAATATAAAATTTTGCATCTATGCAAACATTCGTAGAAAGTTGATCTCTTATTGGTTACCTCGTAGCTCATGGAAACAAGCATCTGTTTATTTTAAGTTGGCGAGCGAATATTGAGCAAACAAGCGCGTGTATTCGATATTTTAGAATGACAGAAGGTGTCCACTGTCGTTGCCTTCTTTTTCGCTCTCCTTCAGCATACAGATATCGTTGTTTCGAGCGTACAACGTGCCGCGATGTAAATCAAAATCCTCCCGGATTTACATAATTTATCTGTGCAAAGCGTATCGCTTATTTATATCGTTAAAGCTCACAACACAACAAATATTCGTGCACGGAGAGAACAAATAATGAATGACAAATATTCGGAGTTTGCGGAAGACGCGGAAGAGCCGTCCGTTACATCGTCGGATCCAAATGAGCGGAAATTAGCGCGCCAACTTCGTATTAAGCGGCGTCTAGAGATGCTAACCAAGTATAAGAAAACTTCTTTTTCAATAGATATATTTTTATACTTGTCTATAATTAGATTTAGAGGCCTACAAAACTACTTAAATCTCTATTCGCTTTAAATTTCCTTCTATATTGTAATATTTAACATTATGCAACATTGTGTTAGTATTTTTACAATCTTGTCTCTCACTGCTCTTACAATCTTGGGATATTAAATTTTTTATTTATAGTCCCTATTCTATATGCTCCCACTTCCTTTTTACTTTTTATAATTATCATTATTTTACAGACAGACACGCACTGAAGAAGAAGAAGTTGTTGAAAGGACTCTCACCGAGAAACAGATCTTTACCAGTTCTGATCTCTTGGAGAAATTATTAATTGAAGGGGATGAAGTGGTTGGTACAAGATTTCATAACTTAAACTGACACACCTTTTTAAATATAATTGCCTATGAAACATCCTGAGATCTTCCAAAGAATTTTAATATGTATATTCACTATATATTGATATTAACACAGAAATATATCTGATTAAACATGATTTAGTCATTATATGCGTAGATATCTTGTGTAAAAGTCGCAAATGATGCCAGAGAATTACAACGACGAGGAGAACAGCAGAAGATTAAAAAGGTATTACTGCAAAAACTTGAGGAGGATGATAAGGAGTGTACAAGAAGATATAAAGAGATCAATGACAAATGGTCGAGTATTCTGGTGTCTAAAGATCCATTGGATATACACGCAGAGATGGAAGTTCAAAATGTTAAGTGTTTGGAAATTATGGTGAGAAAAGACGCCGTTATTGCTGAGTTGCGACAAGAATTGGAAAACGCTGATCTTCAATTCATCAATGATCAAAAGACTCAGAATGAGGACATAGATTTACTGATCGATAGGATGGATAAACAAGTAATGCATACAAGCATACACAATATCTCACAACATGTGATCTTAATTTTGTTTTTATTTCTTGATCTAATTTTCTTAATTCTATCTAGATTAATCTTATGATTAAAGCCTACCGTCGCGAACTGTCGCTCATCAATAGAGTGATCGACTCGGAGCGTAAAGTACTACTGGAAAATATCATGGAGAAATGGGAAGCACTATACAAGAAGTTAAAAGAGAATAGTCTCGCAGGATTAGATAAACGGAAAGAAATAATGCGCAATTACGAAGAGGAGATGAAAAAAGTCATAATCGAGAACCAGGAAGAGTATCGTGCTCAAAAGATTACTTTTGAGCTGGAGATTCAGAAGCTTCAACAAGAGGTGCAGAACACGAAAGCTTTATGCTTCATGAATATCGAGAAGCTAGATTATAATTATGCTGTGCTTAAACGCCGAGAGGACGAGAATGCCATAGTAAAAAATCAGCAAAAGAGGAGACTCAATAAGTGAAGTAACTTGTATTAATAAATATGAGAAGTTTAATTAATTAATACCGATTAATAATTTCAGACTTCAAGATGTCATTAATACTTTGAGGAAGGATTACGCGGAGTTAGAAGAGAACACAAGAACTGAAATAGAAAAACTTACTGATCAGGTCGTAAAAGCTCGTAAAAATATTTTTGATTTGGTAGAGAAATCAAGTCACTTCACGAACATTAATGACAAAAAATACATGCAAATTTGGGACATGAACATGAAACACGCAAATGAATTGCTCGATAAGGTATGTGCTTGATCTTATTCAATGATATCGTTACCGAAAAGATAACTTTTCAGATTTTAGCAGCTGATAAAGTTATATATGAACAAGCGTTAGGCATGGAATGGAGTTTACCTAAAGAAACTTTATTGAGGAAAGAAGATCTGCCGTCCTACTGTAGCGTGATGTGTACCATTGAAGAAGGTAACGGTTAGTTATAGTCTAATCGATTGCAGATTGGATTTTCTCACACATAAATTTACGTTATACCTAAGAAAACAGGTTGGCTGTCGAAAAAAGATTAATAAATAAATCTTATAAGCCGGCCAGCACTATTGAAGAAATCAATTTGGAAAGACGATTATTGAATCATATAATAAAGCTGATCGCCGACCGTTGCGATTATTTGATCGAAGATAAATTGCTGCAGTTGCTTTTGCCTTACACTGCAAATGATCAGTTAGTCATACGATTGGATAATGTATTTCAGGTGACAATATGTACATTATATACTAACATACTAGACTTGTGAGCACCAATCAACCTTATTATACCGCTATTTTCCTAATGTTATCAGGCACTAAATATTAAATCTGAAGAGACACTTGGTTTCCTCTTAAATTTCTTTTTACCTTACGCATATTGTCCCATATGCATGGGCAAAGATAAGAGCGAATCGATTTGTGACGAATCTACGAAATCGTCCTCTTCAAAAACGAGGTATGTATATGGTACAAAATATTTAAAATAATTGTAAAATTATTTTTAATGTACGAATATGCGATAATTTTACGAGTAATCTTGTTTGAAATATTAGTATTGAGCAAATAGATATCTGCGGTTCTCCTGAGGAATTCACAGAGGATGAAGCTAAATTGATCGCCGCCGTGAAAGAAGCAATCTGTGACGAAAAATCATCCACTCCTTACGATGCACGTATTATAAGTACTTCATCTCGAAGTTCTTTAAGTGAAACATTACTTCCTATCGCGGAATGTACTTCAATTTCTGTCAACTCTGTTAGCGACATTACTAAAGGTTCGTAACCTTTCAAAAAAAGTTTCTCTACGAATTTGAAAAAAAATTTACAATCGGAATCTCTTTCGTCGTAACGTATTCATTTTGATAAAGTAACAAAATTAATTCTTTTAAATCTCTGAAACAGATGATGATCAAATGCAACAACGTTTACTGTGCGATAGAGGACATCTACTGGAAATCGAAACAACATTCGTCATAAAGGCCTTGCAGGAATTATTAGAAAGGTATCACTTTGTCAAAGAGATACCACAGACTTTTCAGGAAAAATTAACAGCAAAGAAGGCGATTATATCCCGAAATATGTCTATCGAAGATGTAACAAATTTTTGGAAGCGATACAGCGAAATCTTCTCGGTAAAGAAAGAGCGACTCTGGGATGGCTTATTGGTCGGGCTAAAAAAGTATCACGAAATATTGAAGGAACGACATCAGCTAAACATTGAGACAGAGTCATTACGACGACAAAATGCGGAATTACGTCGTTTATTGAAAACATATGTGATCGAGGTAGTATATAGAGCTTCTTTTCTTAACATATATTACACTTTCACTGCGTTTTTTTTAAATTAAAGAAATATATATGTACGAAATATATTAACGTACTAAGCGGAAGAAGAGAAAAAAGAAACATTAAAAAAAAGAATATTTAAATTATAGTCAAGCTTATCAATTATTATCTATTCTTTTCAGCCTGGAAGCGACAGTTTATCGCAAGACGACGTACAGCTAGTTTGTGAAATGACAGAATAGTTCGAATAAACAGGCTTTAATTTATGACTCATTAAATTTAGTGTATAAGTCTTGAGACAATCCAAATACAGCATATATATATATATATATATATATATATATATATATATATATATATATATATATATAT